CGAGAAGGGAGAGAAGCCCCCTGGGCCGTCGACGTTCCAATTTAACTTCAAATTTAGCTTAAAGTAAGAATGAGTGTTAGAATCATAAGAGTAAAATTGAACCATGAATTATAATTAATATAAAGGCATAGAGTAATCAATGTTATGACTATTCATTTACTAGCGAAGATATGTATGCTCAAGACTCCATTGATATGTTACACGACGCTGGTCTCTTGTTTAAGAAACACGAAGAAGAAGGAATCGCTGTGATGGATTTCGCCGAATTGCTGATATCCTCTGGTTTGGTCCTTTGTGAAGACGTGGTATGGATAGCATTCGCTAGGTAAGTATTATCCTGAAAGGATACATTGTATTTGTAGCTTACTTGTTAAGCCTGGTTTACACTTGACACAAAATGCAATGCAAATGAACGCAAAATTGAAATTTGATCAATTTTGCGTCAACTTCAAAGCATTTTTGCGTCAAAAGGTCATCATCGTCCACGCACTTTTGACCGTTTCGTCGAGTGTAAATCTAGCTTGAGTACTTACTGTGGATCAGACAATTTTGTGAAACCTGCATTTTAAAGATTTCAAGGGACAGATTTACATACATTTACATGTGGTACAATATTTCTAGAATGAAAATTGCAGAAAATATCAATCATGATTATTTCTTCTTTATGTTACTCTCCCTCTTCTCTCTCTCCCTCCAGTTCTTATGATTTCGGTTATCTGATTCGGTTGTTGACCAACGAGAATCTACCCGAAGATGAACCTGACTTCTTTCAACTCATTTCTTGCTATTTTCCACAAATCTACGACGTCAAGTATCTCATGAAGAGTTGCAAGAACCTGAAAGGGGGACTCCAGGAAGTCGCAGATTTTCTAAGAGTAAGAAAAGAAGCAAAGAGAAAAATATAAAAAGAAAAAAAGATGGCACCAGAAATAAAGAGACAGAGAGAAGAGAGAGTTAGGAGTTTGATTGTTGATTTTATGAGTCCTAACATTATTTTTTCTATACCCACAGCTTGAGAGAATTGGTATACAGCATCAAGCTGGGAGTGACAGCTTCATAACAGGATCGGCCTTCTTTAAAATTAAAGAAGTAAAGTCACCTCACCCTCTCACATCCATCACTCTTTTTATTCATTATCTCGCACTCTATCAACATTGTTCTCTTATTTTATTTTATTGCCATGGGTTAGTATATATTTTGTCCTACTTAGGAGTTTTTTGATGACACTATCGATGACGACAAGTATTGTGGTAATGTGTTTGGACTGGGTAATGCATACCCAAGCAATGGAAACGGATACGAGACATCACAATAATAACTACAATTAGCATATATCATCTTTCTATTACTTCTCCTGGCCCTTTCCCTATAAAATACAGATGCAGAGGAGGGAATTTATTCTTTTTTGTTATATTATTATTCTTATCTATTCATATAAAGGTCTGGCACTCTCCCTCCCTCCCTTTTTCTCTCTTCTCTCTCTCTCTCTCTCATGCCTATATTGTACATACATGGCTCTCTCTCTCTTGTGTTTTTTTGCTACTTACTTCATTATCTTTTTCATTTAATATTAACATAATTATATATCTTAGTTAACTACTACTGCTGTAGATCTAATCACAAATATAGCAGGACATTATACTACTTTGTTTATTTAAATGTAAACCACAATTCCCTAGTTGGGAATAGTTTAGCAATGGTGATGATGTCATTCTTTGATGCTTATTATTGCAGATCTGGACAAATCATGGCTGAACTCCCAACTGAGGAGCAAGATGAAGCTGAATTTAAGATAGGACAGACTGATGAAGGCCCAGAAAACGACGAAGAAAGTTAGTAGCTATCTTGTAGCCTACAAAGATTTTACTCAAGCGTTTCTTGTTTTACAGATGATTACTACCCCATGGAGGCTGTTCCCCAAGGCCTTTGTTTACTTATCGACATTGCTCACTTTGAAAGGCATAAGGGCAGGCTTGGTAGTGATAATGACGCTGCTAAGCTTCAGGATTTGTTTGAAAACGTTCTCAACTTTAGAGTGGCAGTACTTAGAGATCCAACTCTACAGGAACTCCACCATAAACTAATCCAGACCTATCAATTGGATCATTCGGCCTATGATGCATTTTTTGTTATAATACTGAGTCACGGGGATCAGGGAGATCAGATTTATACGTCTGATAGTCGGTTGATTAAGATCGGTGAGATATCTGATTACTTTACAGCAAGCATGTGTCCCTCACTAGCTAATAAGCCAAAATGCTTCATCATTCAAGCATGTCGTGGCTTTCAACACAATAGACCAATCACAGTATCCTCTAGCCCGAGATCAAGTATTACCGAAAGTCACTTTGATGTCACACAGACGTCACATGACATGTCACACGATGGCGGCGGGTTATTGTCGAATTTCGAATCATGTCAGATTGTTCCTGATAAGAAGGACTTTTATTACGCTTTTGCGACAATTGAGGATCACGAAGCTTTGCGGCACTGTGAAGAGGGCAGCTGGTTTATCAGTGAGTTCGTTAAAGCTGTAAAGTATTTTGCTCGAAAGTACACAATTGTAGACTTACAAGAGGTAATGCTGAAAGTAACTGGAAAGGTATCCAAGTACAGTCATGAGGGAAGGATGCAAGTATGCCAAACTAAAGGGTCCATTACAAGGAAGATACTCCTCTCTGTTAATGAAGCTAACTTGCCCACACCAAGCTCAAGTTCATTCCACTCTCTTACAAGCTCAGAACTCAATTTAGATGTAGCAGTAAAACTGAGGGAAAATAAACTCAATAAAAGCAGACCCAGTAGTGCCGGGGAACTCGTCATAGCTACTACCGGATCCAGTCCTGCTTTAAACAGACATAGCTATCACTCGCCTTACATGAGAAGACAATCTTCTCCTCCTCTGCCTTTTTTAAGAGTACCATCTGTTTTGGGTCTAAGACGCCAGTATAGTGCTACTCCTCCTCATCCGCTCTCAAGGTCTTCATTAGCATCAAGCATAGCCTCAGAAACCAGCCTACCTCTTACTGGTGAGTAAGGGAAAGATGTACTCTTTGTTATTATAATCACTCTTAATTTCTTAGAATTATCAAGTATATCTAAACCCGGTTATTGTATAGTGTTGAATAGCGGCAAGAGCGATGATAAGAAAATGGCAGCTATAAGAAAAGTGTTCTCGGACCAGCTTCAATTCCACGTACAAGTATACAATTTTATAACACCAAAGGGGATAAAGCACCTTTTGAGAACAGTAGCCAAGATTGATCATTGTGACCTCAACTGTTTAGTGGTTATTGTCCCAGGCCCGACGATACCAAGCAATCTTCAACTTCACAAAATACTGAGTCCTTTTGCGGCACACCGATCCACTATTCCTAAATTGTTTTTTATCGAAACAAAGCTAAACAATGATGATCGTGATTACTTTTACAACGCTTTTAGCCCAGTCGAGGTCCCTCTCTCCTATATTTACACTGCTAATGCTGTAGAGGACATTAAAAACACTTTCTTGGAGTGCCTTTTACAAGTTATAACTGCTACGACTGACAGAATAGTTTTTCAAGATGTGATGAGAAGCACGCAGAAAATTTTTAAAAATAGAGAGAGCAGTACCAGCTGTAGGATTACTAGTATTGATAAGCTTGAAGATCAATTGATTCTAAGACCAGCAAAGTAAGCAAAGAGAAGAAGAATGTCAATGTGAATGTGCATGACTTTGTGTTTTTCAGTGAATGGCTTTGTTACTACATTAGTTACCATAATTTACCATTAGTTACCATAGTTTAGTTACCATAACATTAATCTTTTATCACAATAGAAGCCAGACTGAAGGTGAAGGCAAGGATGTCATGGGCAACAAACACAAGTATTCAGAGCTGTTGCTAGCTGTTAGGCTGTTAGAGCCATTACGAAACACAACCATCAATAAACTTCAGCGTAAGAAGATTAACATACTGCGCATCTGTAGACAAAAAATACCTCGAGGTAAAGCAGAATCTAAAGCGTTATCAGATGACAATCTTGAAGGAACTCAGGCAACTCTAGAGGTGGATAAGCAATTAACACAGCAGGTCAACAGTCTAATTGGAGGATGTAGTTCAATAGCACGAATGGGTTCCTTGCTCTTACCTATTGAATTATCAGAGTTGATATCAAACTGTACGAAATGGTACAAGACGTCAGAGGATAAGATGGTGACAGAGTTTGACAGGAATTTAGACTCTTTAAAAGACCAGTGCTTGATCATGAAGGAGATAGTACGATTTATTACTGAAAGAGGAATGGAAGAACAGTAAAAGCAATATCAAACAGACTTTGATGAGTTGCTTTTGCAAACATGAACATAACTCAGTTGCAAAGCCTGAAACAGAAAAAGATGCATGTTCAAGAATTACAAACAGCCAAAGGGGGTCTAAGACATGAAAATTAGTAAAGTGCTGTGTCTATTTGTTATTATTCCTAATTGTTATTAAATTGATTTTCACTGCATGACATCCTGAGATTAACTGCACTTGCTCTATGTGGCTTCAAAGAATGCATGGCATGACTGTTGTCAAGGGTAATTGTTACATCACTCGTTGGTCAAAATCCCCTCCTTATCACTTGTAGTGCTTGCTTGTGACTAGTCAAAAAGAGAGAGAGCAGAAGAGACAGGCCTTCCAGTTAGCTGATCTACCAATGATGGCTACAAGGCATTGCCTCTCTGAGACTGAAAGTGAAGGTAAGCAGCTCCTTACAATGATAACAATGATACTATTGTTATTGTTATTATTATTATAGATGTATACACTATGAGGTCTGATCCAAGAGGTCACTGCATTATAGTGAACAATGTCCACTTTTGGGCCGGCCAGCATCCACCCTCATCCAGTGACAGCCCTCCTGATCCTCATGTCCCTCCAGACAGGACCGGGAGCAACATTGATGCTCTCAAGTTACAGGAGTTATTCAGCGGCTGCTTGAAATTTGCCGTGACTAGGAGAGATGACGTAACTCGAGATCAGCTCAACGAGACGATTGTTGAGTATCAGGAGATGGATCACTCGAATCATGATGCTTTATTCTTCATTATACTGAGTCACGGTGATAGAGGCGATATTATATACACGTCTGACGACATTTCGATCAAGATCAACAACATTGTCAAGTGTTTCTCTGCAAGCAAGTGCCCAACTCTTAGCAACAAGCCAAAAGTCTTTATCATTCAAGCGTGTCGCGGGTCGGAATGCAACAGCTTGGTGACGCTAAGCAAAGAGCCTTTTGAACCACAAGCCTTAACATCGGAAACAGCATATCATGATAGTGGGTATTCTTCTGCTTCAATGACTGGACCAGTACTGATAAATGTACCGGATGAAGCAGACACTCTCTGTGCTTATGCTACCATTGATGACCACACTGCTTTGAGAGATCGAAAGAATGGGAGCTGGTTCGTACAAGAGCTTGTTAATGTCATCAGAGATCACGCTCACAATAAACACCTCCTGGACTTGCTCACTATGGTTAATAACAAGCTCTCGTCCCAGCACAGCATCGGTAACGAAGTCCAGGTATCCCAGATAAAGAGTAGCCTCAGAAAGATGTTGTATTTTCATCCTCGCCCTCCTCTCCTTCATACTCAGTCCGACATTGACGTAATGAGAGAGCAACAGTTATTATCAAGTTATCATACACGTGTCTCAGTGCCTGCTTTGATGCCAGAGCATTCGCCGCATCATTTGCAACACTATCATCGTAATCAGCAATACATTAATGCCAGTAGAGGTACACAGCAGCTAATAGCTCTCCATCATCAGCCACATGTATCTACTACTCCTCATTTTCATGAAGGCAAGTCTGAAGTCCGACGCCCAAAAAGAGAAGAATCAACTGCTTCATTTGTCTCTGTGTCTAGTGAGCAAGGATTGCTAATGAATGATGTCAGTTCACTTCCAAATAGCAGAGAACCTTCACCACCACTCATACCAACTATTAGCAATCAGCAATCATTGCCTTTACTACCAAATGCACATTCTCCTATTCCTTCTCCTATTCCTGGATCACCAAGTGGTCAGGATCTACCGTTATCCACTGGGCCGTTGTACAGTAGACCGGTAACACCTGACAGTCAGGATATTGGACAGGACGCAATGTTTGTCACTAATAGCTGCTACTCTTTTAGGAGACCTTCGTCAAATTCCGTTACAAGTCATTTCAGTGTTAAAGGTAAGTCCAGTCACTTAACATTATTAGATTAGAGTGTAGTAAGGTTTGCATTCTTATCATTTCAAAGCAATTAATTACATTTGTATTTAATTTTTAGCCGTACAAACAACCTACCACATGTGTGAAGATCCCATGCTACCAGAAGGATACTGTATTATCATTAATAATAACACTGAGTACTACCACGATGAGAAAATGGACGAAATAACAGAAGTATTCTCAGACCAGCTTGGATTTCACGTCCAAGTATATAACTCTCTAACTCGTAAAGGGATAAAGCATCTTTTGGAAACGGTAGCCAAGATAGATCACTGCGACCTCTACTGTCTAGCGGTCATTATTCTTAGCAAGGGAGGGAAGGAGAGAGCTGTTTATGGAACCGATGGAAAGAAATTACAAGTGAATGACCTGGTGATGCTTTTCTCCCGCGACGCCTGCCATTCACTGGAGATGAAGCCTAAGCTGTTCTTTATTGAGACCCAGTTGACTGAACCTAACAATTCACAGCCTGTAGAGTTTCCTGATGTCCCCCACACTTACATTGCAAGCTATTACGGTGGCCTATCGGAGTCCAAAAGCTTCCTTTTAGATTTGACCGAGGTTCTGTGCAAGGACTTTGTCTTTCAAAAAGCCATAGAAGCTCTGATGGACTCGCACGACATAAACAAGACTCTTTTTCTTTGTAATAAACTCGGGAGGCCTCTTCACTTCACTGTTTGTGAGGAAATAAGGTAGGCATGTTTTGCATGTATGTATATGCCAGTAACCAAATAGCTTCCTTTTAAAAATCTTTTGTAGTATTTCTATTTGCATTGTTTGATGTCTTGTTTTTACACGCATTAGGGATAGTTTAAATCAAGGCAGGCAAACTGTCAACAAGATCAGCTTTGCAATGGAAGTCCTCATTAAACTTAGAGCAGCAACGATAGCTGAACTGAAAAGAATAAAGGAAGACATTTTCAACGTTTGTCAAAATGCTCGTCGCTCAAAAATGGCCGGCGCAATCACATCTCTTGTTGGAGGTGGACTAGCCGCTATTGGATTTGGATTGATTCCAGTCACTTTTGGAGGCTCTGTAGCACTATCTGTCCTAGGAGCAGGAGTTGGAGTAGCTGGTGGGGCAGTATCTATAGCTTCTACTGTTACAGACAAAGTAATGTCTAAAGGAAAGCTCAAACAGGCTCAAGCGGTAATAAACATTGATAGACAGCTAACGGAGCAAGTGAATGAGCTTTTTGAGAGGCTTCAGACGATCATTGAATCAATTCAAAGGAAGGAGCCTGGAACTACTAGAGAGAAAGCAATAGCTCTGCTATTACAAGGACATCAGCTGGTGCGTGTTGGTGCAGTCGCTGTCCGTGGCGCTCAAATCACTCGTACGGTTATCCAAGGAAGTGTTTTTGCTCTTAAAGTGGCAGGCCCTGCAGCACGGGGTATTGCTGTGGTTGGAGGCGTTGCTGCTGTACTGACGATACCACTGGATTTATACGAATTGATTTCAAATTCCGTCAAACTCTACAAGAAATCCGACACCGAAGCAACGAAGTGGTTTGACGAACAGCTTGAGTCTTTAGAGGCACAGCAGAAAGAAATAGAACAGATGAACCAAGAGCTTAAGAGAGAGAACTGTCCTGAAACTGAAGTATAAATTACGAGTCAAAGCCAAACTACTAGAAACTATGATTTTTGCATTGTTTGCATGATCAAAATTGATATTATTGTTAGTAGTATTTATTTTGTATTATTTTTATTTCACTTGGCAAAAGTAAATTATTGAGAGTTGTAATTAAATCAAGAGTGCCGTTATGACATGTACCATATATATACACTACATTAAAGCATACCAGTAGTAGAAATTACTCTACTGTAGCAAATGCCCTAAGAACACCTCCTTACTGGAGTAAGCAGGCATGTCCCTGAGCTTTGAGTTTACACCAGAATGATAATGAATGAGAAATTACATCACAAATTACTATAGCATAATTTAAGAACATACGTGTACCGAATATCTCTCCTTAAGTAGCCATGCATGAAGTAAGTTCTGAGACAATAAGAAACAGAGAAATATCAGTACAGTATCATAATTTTAAAGCACAAATTATAAAACACAACAAAAATGTCAGATGTCATTGATAACACGAGATCGGTTCAACAACTTAATTATTGAGGGGATGATGCCAAGGGTACTGTTTCCGTTCTTCGATCATCGACGGCAAAAATCTCAACTTCGCTCTCGCTCCCACTATCCCTGTTACTAGTCAATACAACAGTGTAACCATTCTCCATGTTATTAGTGTCAGTTCTTCCTGTCCTCTGAGATCGGTACTCAGCAATGTGGTGGTGATTCTTGATTGGGAAAGAAGCCCCGTTGCCTTCACTGTGTGGTAATATAAGAGTTAATTTTATTGAAAATATGTATTTATAATATATTATGAAATTAACTCGATTTGCATGAAATTACGTATGCATCATTATAAGATTAGACATGTTTATAAATAAACATATTCAAGCTACTATAATTCATCATGTAACAAACTTTCCCTTTGAAATACAGACACATAAATACAATATTAAGACATATGTACATCCACCTGCAAGTGTATGCACAAACAGATCAACAAAATAGCTGAGTGTCATATTTTGGGCTCTAAACTAATTATGACATCATGTGTGTATACATGCCCCACTACGTCACAGATTCATTGTAATTACCAGGAATATAATATACTAATGTAACCATAAGTATAATAAATACATAAGTTAGTATAATAAATCCCTGGTAATTACCCTGTTATTTAATTACAACTCAGTATAACACAGTACACTTCAGTATAACTCAGTATATGTTAATGACATACCTGGTATTGACTGGTAGTAAGGCTAGGAACGGGTTGCTGCCGAAAATTGCTCTGAGGTTTCTACGTACACCGAGATAGTAGAGATCCTTTACCGGCCCTCTGTGAGTCCTTGGTGCATCCATGCTCTCTAAAAAAGAACAATGGTATACTGATGACCTTTCTATAGTACAGAAATTGTTTAGAAATTAGATCATTTTTTAAAATGACCATAACTCGGAAAATCAAAGTCGGAATCGGCTTAAACTTTCTACATAGCATAAGGACATCAATATGTATCAAAAAATGTAATAAAAATTGGGGGTCATTTCAAAGCCATTTTTCGGAAAAAACCATGGGCTATAGTACAGGGATCTTTTCAGATTTTGGCTCATTTTAAAAATGACCATAACTTGAAAAATCAAAGTCGGAATCGACTCAAAGTTTCTACACAGCACAAGGACGTCAATATGTATCAGAAAATGTAATAAAAATGGGGGGTCACTTCGGAGCCATTTTTTGGAAAAAACCATGGGCTATAGTACAGGGATTTTTTCAGATTTTGGCTCATTTTTAAAATGACCATAACTCAAAAAATCAAAGTCGGAATCGACTTAAACTTTCTACACAGCATAAGTACATCAATATGTATCAGAAAACAAAATAAAAATTGAGGGTCATTTTGAAGCCATTTTTCGGGAAAAACCATGGGCTATAGTACAGGGATCTTTTCAAATTTTGGCTCATTTTAAAAATGACCATAACTTGAAAAATCAAAGTCGGAATCGACTCAAAGTTTCTACACAGCACAAGGACGTCAATATGTATCAGAAAATGTAATAAAAATGGGGGGTCACTTCGGAGCCATTTTTTGGAAAAAACCATGGGCTATAGTACAGGGATTTTTTCAGATTTTGGCTCATTTTTAAAATGACCATAACTCGAAAAATCAAAGTCGGAAT